TAATATATACGTAAGAGAGTTAAAGCTAACCCTGGACAAAGTATCTGCTACGCCAAATACATTTAAAGTTGTTATAAATGCTGAAAGAAAGCCTACAAATGGCAACAGTGGGCGGTATAACTAAAGTTGCTTTAGTTATTGTTGGACAGCAGTTTTCTAAGCGAGATATTATAATTGAGATCCATGATAATACATTGCATTGAATAAGTAAAATCCATCGCTCATACTCATAGAGGATGGATACTCCATTTCTATACCCCAGTGCGATCCTAAGACCATACAACCGTTTAAAAAAATGGTATCTCCTGCAGTTTTTATTTTTATAAGATTAGGAAAGGCAAAAATAATCATCTGCTATATTTTCATTCGCTTAGCTAATTTTCAGTTGACATGTTTGTGAAAATCGAGGCGGAAAGGTTGAGTTATATTAGCAACAATCAGGCGCAGCTTAGAGCGAACAGTTATATTATACACTTGCAAGATGCGATAGGGAGACACGACGTTGATGCTAATCAACTGGGTCAAAAGGTGGTGCTGCCTTCTTCCTTTACTGGTACCACGCTATATACATGAGCGGACACAAGAAGCCATGACGTATGTGCACCACTACGGTCGTCGCGATCTCTTTGTAACTTTTACTTGCATTCCTCGATGGGATGAAATCACGGAGGTGCTTTTGCCTGGACAAAAAAGTTATGATAGACACGACATAATAGCCAGTGTTTATTACCTCAAAGTTAAGAAAATAATGGCACTTCTAACCAAAATAAAAATATTCGGAGAGGTACTTTTGTTTCATATTCTCTACCGAATGGCAGAAATTGCATTTTGCCTGACATGGTGGATGAACTTATATGTGCTGAGATACCAAATCCAAATGAGGATCCTATTTTACACGACATAATTAAAAACAATATGATACACGGTCCATGTGGGAACCTTAGTAATAATTCTCACTACATGAAAGATAATAAATGTAGCAAAAAATATCCCAGACAATTGTTGAGAGATACACATACAGGTGAAGATGTTTACCCACAGTACAGAAGACGATCTCCGGCTGACGGTGGCTTTACACTTAAATTAAAAGACTTTGAAGTAGACAATAGGTGGATGATCTCCTATAATAGTAGAATTTTGCAAGTCTGTTAAAACGATAAAGTAAATTAGGAAGGGCAGTGATCAGGCGGCTTTCGTGCTAGAAAACAAAAAGGATGAAGTCAATTTTCCATACATGGAAGGTTTCCCACAGTCATACATTTAGCTGTTGACCTTGAAAATGGCCAACGACTCTATTTTAATTCCGACAACCTCGCCGACAAAGTTAATAGCCCACCAAAAACAATACTGTTAGCGTTTTTTGATTTATGTCCAACAGATGATTTAGCTAAAATTCTTCTATATGTGGAAGTGCCTTCATATTTCGTATGACAAAAAAATAAATTTGTGAGAAGGAAAAGAGGAAAACCCGTCGATGGCTGGCCAGGAATAATGAAAAAACCACGCTCCAGGTAGGGTGTACACGGTTCACCCAAATAACACACAGTGTTACCATCTTCGCTTACTTTTGCACGGGGTTAGGGGTCCATAATTCTTCAATGACTTGAAGACTGTCAATGGTGTTCTACAACCAGCTTTTCAATTAGCTTGCATGAAACTTGGTTTGCTAGAGGACGAAAAACATTGGGATTCTGACTAGAGGAAGCAGCCTTATGCGAGTCGCCATTTAAAATGTGTGAACTTTTTTCTATAATACTGGCATTCTGTCAGATTACAGACGTACTAAGTATTTGGATAAAATACAGGGATAGCCTATCAGAAGACTACAAACGACAAGTACAAAGGCTTTTTGGTATTATAGATAAACATCTAGCAGATGAAATCTACAATAAATGTCTGATCACAATATGAAAAGCTGTATTAGCATTAGGAGAACAAAGCCTAGAGCAGCACGGGTTGCCTCAGCCTCAAAGGTCTGAAGACTTACACAATAACCGGGACCATCTGAAGGAAACAAGTTACGATGTCAATTCCTTAGCAGGACTGGTGTCAAGTAGTGAAGGCTCTCTAACCAATGAACAAAGATATATCTATTATAAAATACTTTCCGGTATCGACGCAGGTGTAAGTGATATCTTTTTTTGGGTGCTCCTGGTGGAACAGGCAAGACTTTTCTATTAAATTTACTGTATGCCAAAGTGAGAAGCAATCGTGACATCGCCTGGGGTTTGTGTACTGTGGCTCATAAAGGAGGTTTCAAAGCCCTAAATAGATCTTTACAAGATATTAGGAATAATATTTGTCAAATAGGTGTAATAATTGTCAAACGCTCGGTTGGAACGAAGTTCGTTCCACGACACTCACGCATGTTTTATTTTATTGTACTATTGCTGTTATCAGAAAGCTGCTGCTGCTCATCTCCTGCCTGTTTCCCACTGTCACCTCATACGGCACCCTCGGAAAGATATGGGGTAGTGGATATTGTTAACCGCCACTACACGGCTAGAAAATTAAATAACGTAAATACATTATATCCATTTTTACAGTGTGGTAGCGGCGTGATAGAATCAATCGATCCAATTCGTTATGTGGGTATCGTAAAAAGCGAAGAAAGTATGGATAAAGAATAAAAAACTCATGAAGTGCTTATGAAACTCGTGAAGCCGACAGGTTTATTATGCTAGACGTAAAATACTATAACATGCCTAACCCGGCGTCGGAGATGAGGGTAAAAGGTGTGGGACATCCGGTACTGCGATTGTAGGCGATCGTCAATTCACCCGCCAAACGTGACTGTGGCAAATCCTTCTTACAATAAGCGAGGCTCATATTCAGTAGTTGAATTTTGCAGTATCACGCACAAGAAAGAAAGAAAGAATTAAAGAAGGACTTTATTTTATCACTTGCCATTGAAGCACACAACAATATACAGTTGCGATGAAACAGCAAAGCTGTAAAAATTTTCTTTAATGACCAAGGCCTTGCCCAAAGTCTCGTGGCCAATAAAATAATCTGATAATGATAATGATGGTAAATATTACTAAAAAAAATGTGGGACATCTGGTATTGCGATTGTAGGCGATCGTCAATTCACCCGCCAAACGTGACTGTGGCAAATCCTTCTTACAATAAGCGAGGCTCATAGTCAGTTGTTGAATTTTGCAGGTTCCACAAGAAAGAAAGAAAGAATTAAAGAAGGACTTTATTTTATCACTTGCCATTGAAGCACACAACAATATACAGTTGCGATGAAACATCAAAGCTGTAAAAATTTTCTTTAATGACCAAGGTTTTGCCCAAAGTCTCGTGGCCAATAAAATAATCTGATAATGATAATGATGGTAAATATTACTAAAAAAAAGTATCATGCTTTCTTACATTTATATTATCTTTGAGATACAACAGCACAGTATCGGAAAGAGTAAATGTTTATTTTAAAAACCAGATCATATTAAATAAGGCCCGTGGAGAGATAAAGCTACGTGACAGATTGCGCACACTTAAGTTACATCGTATAAAGTAATTCAATAGATATGTATTAAATATTCTTATGACTAGTGAAGAATAACTGACCTTGATATTGTCCACAATATCTAAAGTTGTTGCGATTTATTTTGAGCTACCCTAATACTTATTTTGATTACCGGAGGAGTTGTGTTCCGTTTATACGAGTATGGAGAACCAACGTGAGACATTCCATCAATCTTTCTTCACCTTATTCATCAGAGGTTACAACGCATGTGTAGTCTCCATTGAAGTCAGTTACTGATATCTTATGGCTTTAATTGCAGTCACTTTTCATTATGACAGTTCAGTTGTTTCTAAATAATTCCACAAATAAACCGGCCATATATTATTTCAAAATCAATCTGGAACACTAGGTAAATCATTATCAAAAATGCAAATGCGCTACCTCTTCTACAAATCATACAGTCCTCCTTTTGAGTGCATCTTATGTAGTACCTACTTACTTTGACGACAGCAAAATTTCTATAAATTTATCATGAGGCGTTACGCCTTTTGCTTTAACCCAGACATTTCTAACTAAACAGTTGCCAAATACGCTAAATTACCAGAAAATTTGATGATGAACTCAAATAACCGACATAGCCCAACGGATAAGCAAGCTGAAGTGACAATGGTCCAGCCAGTTCAGCCAGATCTTCTCTAGATGGGGCGACGACCTGGTAGAAGATGCAGGAAGTCGATGGGTGCAAACCGGTCACCGATGGAGTTGAAGTTTATAAGGTTATAAATGTTGATGATGCAAAGCGCTCATAAAAGTAAAAGTAAAGTAACACTACGTCAACAACAAACTGCTTTGTCCTTTTATTCATCAAACGAAAGATTCTACCGCACTTCCAATACGTCTTGGCAGACTTCACAAGAACTTCTTTTTTTACTTAATTTTTTTTATTTACTATATCTCATACATGCAGGTTTCCTCACGATGGCTACTATCACCATTACAATCGCGCAGGTCAACTTATACGCGCGGGTTGGCAGTCGGTTTACTTGCGTACTTTAAAATTTTAACGCGGGCAGAACGCTGTAGCCTTTTTTTCTTTTTTTATAGAATAAGGATAACAAATGAGCACACAGTCCACCTGATGGTAAGTGGTTGCTGTGGCCCATATACATCTACATCTATCTTCGTTTTTGAATTAAAATGCAAATGCGTTGTCAGCCGTAAGGACATATAATAGATGTTTCCATTTATAAATGTGAATAGCTAGCTACCAATTTGCCAATTTATTGCTTCAAATTCAGACATTTTAATATTTTAATAATAAACCAAACACTTGAAATAGTAGATTATACTTATTGCGTATACTATATAAGCATTACTAATCTAAGTAATTTTTTTTAATAGAAAATAATTTCACTTAGTTCCAATACATTACAAAACAAGTAATTCATAAAATCACATTTGGTGCGCTATGATGCTAACAACAAACAAGAAAAATGGTCACTGACAAACCGGCATTTTTAATGCGTTTAGTTGATAACCGAGAGCCGTTCGTGGCGCTCGTGCTTCCGCCGATGTTGCACGACGACGCGCTGCATATCCTCGTCATCCAATAGACGCGATCTAATCTATTTCACAAAGCTACCCGTAAAAAAAATCACTTAACTAACATATACCTACACCATTTAGTTTGATCAACCTAGTAACCATTGTGATCAGTAATCTAGTGCATTGAAGAACACCATAAAAAGAACAAATATAAATTTAGAAAAACTCACCAAACTTCACGAGAGTTGGCGATAACAATTGATACAAGGTACCTACATAGTTTTCTTTATTGGTATAGTAGAAGAGTTCATTGTACGGTATGACTTACGCATCGCTTTGAAAAATCAGTTTTTCATTCTATTGAATACAAATTCAAGTAGAATTTTTTTTCTTTCAAGGCGTAAAATTGATCTAGGTACTACAGGACAATTTAATGTCTTACCTGTATTAATATATATAAATTATTCTGTCATGCAGTGTGTAAAATCTAGCTCCCATATATCTATAGCCATTTTCATCCACAGTTCGTTTCATTTTAAATAAGTGTTTATTGTTGTATTCGTTTCTATTTAAATCGTACGTTACATTTAACGGCACATAATCACGTCTTATTTCAAACCAAAGTAACAATGGGTCCTTGAAATGTATTTAATCAAGGCATGGGATTTAGAATTACAAGCAAAATAAGCGTTATAATTTGTTTTGCTAAGAATAGCGTGAAACAGTAGTTTTATTAAAAAAAAACTTGCAACCCGGCCCGGCTTCAACTGAAAAAATCTACCCGCTCTTCTGCCTAATCTGCCTACTCCACTCTTGGCAGTTCGTTCCATTTCATAACAATTGTTTCGGCCATTCCGAAGATTAACCCGGACAGACAGAGATAGACAGACAAAAATTTTGAAAACGGTTATTCATGTATGCAATTAACTTTCAATCAAAGCTGTCAAATTTCAATCAAAGCTGAAAAAATACAGTTATTTCGATATTACTTTTTTACAAAAATTACTTTTTAATTTATTGTGGTTTATTGGGAAAAAGAACATTAAAAGTTACCACTGCTGGCACAGGGCTCCTCTCACTTCTACTCTCGCTTACCAACGCGTGTTAGTGGAGTTCACATGTTTTCGAAATATTTTTTTGATTTCTCAGACATGATATTTTCCTTCAACCCGAGAGCGTAGTAAATCAATTCTTAAAATTTGTAATTAGAAATTTCATTAGTGTCGGCGGGGATCGAACTCGAGTTGCTCGCGTATAGTGAAATTTAAAACGAGCGATTAGCCCCTGTAAATTAATTATTAACTAATTAATTAGCCCCCGTTCCTTGGGGAAGGCCTATGTTCAGCAGTTAACTTGTGATGCGCTTTAATGATGATGATAATTATGATGATTACTAACCCCTGAGTTACCAAGAATCATCATTACAAGAATCGTCATTCATCGCGAAAAAAGAACAATATTCAAAGATAATGTGCTAACGTCGTTCATCTATAATATGCCAATTGTGATTCCGTTCACGTACTTCGACATCAAAGTGGTTTCATGAAAGGATTTCGATTAGAACCTTCATTCTATCAGTTTACTTCAGATCGTTCAACTGGATCATAGGGATAAATTTCTTTCTATCTATATCATTGGTTTTACAAAAATGATATTTTCTAATGCGATGACAATTTTACGCAATTTTAAGAAGAGGGATCTAGTCCAGAAGTTAATTGTACCTATATTAGATTTTGATTAGCTATTATTTGACAATCAGAACTAGCAATGCAATTATATAACTCTGGTGGAAACCGCTTACCTATGGAAAACACTCCACAACAGTTGCGTCTTTCTCCTTCTTCTTCGTGTTCTTCATCAGTATTATCATCATAAGCTCGTTGAATCCACAGCTGGACGTCAGCATCTCCTGGTAGGTAGGATTTGCTTTATTCGCTACGCTTGGCAGTTACATTGTCGATCGTTGGTCGGTCAGTCGCAGGTTCGAGCATTTTAAGTGGGACGTAAACTATATGTTTATACCACCATCTATTATTCTGGCGTTTCAAATAATCCTATTCCAACATCCACCGGACAGAATGGGATGGTAAATAATTTTCTTTTTTTCTATTATTTTTAGGGAAATCTATTTTTAAGTAATACTGATACATTTACACAATACAGCGAAACTAAACGAAAAGTCTAAATGCAGCCATACGTTATTCTTACCAAACTTACACAATCACACTGTAAATTTAAGGCCTGGTAATAGCAGCTACTGAAGTTCCCAGACCTGCAAAATATACATATTAATTTTCCCCTAATTCAGGTTTAAAATATTGGCACCAAGGTTTTGGAAAAGAAAAATATTTAAGAGATATTAAAAATATAAGAACTTAATTTTACAAAGAATTTCATTTTTAAAAGAAAGGACAGGATAATGTATATTAAATTGCATGATATCATATCTTTTATCATTTTTAAGGTCTCTACCTGGCAGAGTTAATTACTGGTTATTCTTTATGATAGGGGTAAAAGTATGATGTTGCTGATTTAACGGAATGGCAAATTTGAATTAAAATTAAACCTGCATGATCCAAAGTTGAATTTATTGATGTGCATAGAGGAGCACGCGTTGAAGATTTTCTTGCTTTGATGAGTAGGTAGAGAAAATGAAGGAATTTTTGAACAGTTGTGAGGTATAATAATAAAATGGATTCTCTACGATAATTGTAAGCGAAAACAGCAATGGCTAAACCTAGGTCAAATATAAGAACAATAACATCCTAAACGAAGCTTACCCATAGAAATGGAATGCTGACTGCTTGGTTATCACCTCATTGTGTAATTCACTACAACTTTAAAAAATTAAGTGTATCAATAACAGCGTCTATTTGAAGAACTGCGAAGAATGATGGTGAAACTCTCAGGGAAACAACTCTGACTTGTCAATCGATCTCGAATCGACTCGATCGATCTTCGCCGTTATTGCTCCATAATAATGCAAGATCTTCCATTGCTCGATAATCCGTTTTATCATTACAAGGCCTGTAGTGAATACCATCATCCTCCGTACTCGCTAGACCTAACCCAAACTTATAACTATTTTTTCGTATTTTGGACAATTCTCTGCAAGGAAAAAATGTGTTCACAGGAAGTGATACAAAATGCCTGCAAAATATTTGATCGACTGACACCACCTACCGAAAAGGGCAGAACAACGTCTGCTGGATGCTATTAGTTTTATATGTTAGTTATGATATCTATCCTTCATATGCGAACAAATAAACAGTTAAATTTAATGCTTTGTAAATGATTTTTAATCTATCATGATCAGAAGTCCACTACTGTACATGGGCCACCCCAAGCAATGCCACAAAGCATGGTCCTGAGCCACTCGTAGTCATAAATTGCTTGTATATCTTACCAGGTTCTCGCTACGTAATACAATTACCGGCATAATGCAATCACGAATAATGTTACGAAGGTGACACTGAAAGTTCTTAGAAAATCAAAAACTGAACAAACTAGCAAGTTATTAGTTTTGTTATATCTTTTCATAATAGTATACATTTACATCAATACATACTCGTAGTTGCATGCAGAGAAAAGCACGTTGCCCACTCGTCCTTAGGGGTCTCTTCGACGGCATTTTGAAACGCAGCCACTGCTTCCGCGCCGTCCATAAAACGCTTTCATCGAAGTTTTTCTTTTATTTTCGGAAATAAATAAAAATTGCAAGGTACGAGGTCGGGGCTATAGGGCGGGTGACCCAATAATTCCACGTCTGACGTCGCCAAGTAGTCGATTATGTGCTTGGCGGTATGCGACGAGGCGTTGTCGTGGTGAAAGATGATCCTACTGCGAGGTCATTTCTCCCGAACTTTTTCCAAGACAAGTGGCAAACAATTGTTAGTGTACCACTCTCCAGTAACTGTTTTTCGACCCTCTAAAACAATTATTGCGTATTGACCTGTCCTTCCGAAGAACGAGGCCACCATCTTTTTTCCCACGCTTCGAACTCTCTTCACTTTAGTTGGCAATTCCTCGGAAGGAAACACCCGAACAGCAGACTGTCTCTTAGTTTCAGGAATATAACAATAAATCCAGCTTTCGTCACCCGTAAGTATGTCGAAGACAGCATTTGACTCACCTCCGTGAAATCCTTGAACCATTTCACGACACCAATCAACACGACGGAGTTTTTGGGCCTCTGTCAAATTATGAGGTATCGACCGGGCACAAAGCTTCCTGACCGCTAACTGTTCATGGAGGATTTTGTGCACTTGACTCATACCGATGCCTAAGCTTGTCCAAATCTGCTGATAAGTCACTCTTTTGTCAGTCTCTATCATATGCCGCACAATACTGATGTTATCTTCAGTCGTCGCCGTCGAAGGCCGTCCCTCACACAGATCATCGATGAGATTAGTGTGACCACGTTTAAACTCATAAAACCAATTGTAAACAGTGGCACGAGATGGATCTTCATTGTGAAAGGCCAATAGAAGTTTATCATAACTTTCTTATTGACTTAAATGACAATGAAAGTCATAAAAAATAATTGTACGAAAATTTTCTCGAGTTAAATTCATGCTGACGTGACACAGACAATTTTCAATTTCCCGCCAAATCATAAACAAATGACAAATTATTAAAATACATACACAATAATATTGGCAAAGAGGTCCATTTTCAAAATTTTAACTTATTTTTTATTATATCGTTTACAAGTGGCTAGTTCTAAACACTTTCAGTGTCGCCCTCGTAATATTGTACAATTAAATACAGTTCAATAACGATTAAAATTTTAAATTATTTTTCTATGTTTATAGTAAGTAAATTACTCAACAACATAATTTTTTTTTACTTTTTACAAAATTTTTATTTGCCTTTTGTTCTTTAGGGGTGTGTGTCTTATTTTTTCCAAATAATGAGGTGCACCCTACTAGTTAACGAAGGAGGTTATGGCGACCATTAGATAACGAAAAATATAAACACAAATCACTCAGACGGTTAATAGGGACTACGAGGATATCTTTTCTGCGCACATCAACCGGCACGAAACGTGGCGCGAGTTAGGCAATCTGGATATTACGTCTTGTTTGAAAAATTATTACCTCGAGCTTCAATGTCCCGGGGCCTCAATACTCAGTCTCAGATATAAATTATTACTTAGAGGAGAAATCTCTGTCGCACTCTTATTTAAACTATTATGATTTGATATTTAGAAACATTTTCAAAAACGATTGCAGAGGAAATTCATTGGAAAGTGTGTTCCCATATGAA